GTTGCTGCTGTTGTTGTTGCTGCTGTTGTTGTTGCTGTTGCTGCTGTTGTTGTTGCTGCTGTTGTTGTTAATGCTGCTGTTGTTGTTAATGCTGCTGTTGTTGTTGATTTTTTTGTTGTTGTTATTTTGTGCGTTCTTACTTTTGTTGTTGTTGCTACTGCTGCTGTTGATTTTTGTTTTCTTACCCTAAACATCCAGTCATGGTACTTGATCAAGTACATCAGTAACATTGAAAGCTCCATTGGCTGGAATAGAAACCAAAAGGTAATGACCAAATTTCACAATGAGATGCATCGGCTAAAAGCATTGTACCCCGGGCCGCCTACCCAGGGCCTTCGTGCTTTTTGGACGCATAACAAGATACATCCCTTTTCTATATCTATGCTAATAATCCTAGGTGGATTTCCATAACTGTATGACACATTTTAACGAAATAAACTGAGGATAAGGAAACTGAGAATTTTTTTCAGCTCGGTCCGCATAATTCACAAGTTCAAAGCTCTGAGTTCAAAGACAGACTGGTAATGACCTTGTCGTGTAAAGCACTGTTGGGCTGAATTTGCGAACAAGATCAGAAACGTTCCGCCATGACACACGAGCTTTTCTCACGCAGACGCAATGTTGACTGGGACAATAGGTTTTTCCACGCGTAGCCTCGCATTCAAGTGCTTGAGAATGAATTTAAGTGGGTTAAACAAAGGTTTCTATTCTCATGGGAATAAAGATGGCTGCCGCGTGAGTTTAAGACCCATTCACCAAGAGCACTACGAAATGACTGTGAAAATTGTTCACCTACCTGTGAATCATCGCTTACTAAGACCAGGTTCTTGGTTGGGATGTTGAACCGCTCTGAGACACTAGAAAAAGGAAAGCCAAGAAAATAATTAGCATCCATTTATCTATATCCGTTCGTTAAAACATTGGTAATATGAACAAGAAAGGATATCTTACACGAAAAATGGAAAGATAAAGAAAAAAAGGATTTTGTGAATGAAAGAAAGAAAACGAAAAAAAGAAAGAAAAGAAAGGTCGAAATAAAATTGAATTCATAAGAAAAACTGGTAACAAGAAGTTAGGACGTTTCGATGACATCTTGTCGTCATTATCAAGTAAAGTAAAAGAGTGAAAATGAAATAGAAAAATAAACGAAAAGAATGACTAGAAGTTTTTTTAAGTAAGATATTTCGGACGATATCCATCGTCCATCATCAGTTTAACGACTCTCTATAAGTGTATTAGTCATTCAAATGATGATGGACGATGGATATCGTCCGAAATATCTTACTTTAAAATCTTCTAGTCATTCTTTTCGTTTATAAACTTTTGGCCCAAAGAAACAAATAGAAAAATAAAAGAAATAGAAAAAATATAAAAAAGAAAATGAAAGGAAAAAAAGACAAGAAAGGAATGACTGTTCAAGTTGTTTTACATTACCTGACGAGATGACTAGAAAGTTTTTTCACCAAGTTTCTCCGGTGTGGTGGGAGTAGCTCCAGCAGAAACTGGATGTGCTGTAACTGAGCTACTTTCTCATTCTGATTGCTCTTGTTATCTGTCAATAAATAAAGAAATAAAATGGCATTGAAACCTGGTAAACGAATAGAACCGATAACAACCGTTTTCTGATTGGATAGAGAATACTGGAGCTGCCCTAGTCCACCCCTTAATGTCTTATTTTAAGGTCGCTAGCTTTGAACCAGATTCTTGCAAATACTGCAAGTTTCCACACCATGGCCCGGTTATACGAAGGGTAAATAGTGTTGTCCGACGGATAAATCTTATGCAATGGATAAGTTTATTGGACAACATCACTATCAACCTATCCACTGGATAAGGATTTATTCGTTGGATAGCGCTATTCACCCTTCTTATAACCGGGCTCAGCTTATACGAAATTCGAAGTCTTTCAAATGGTATACCAAAGAGAAGCCAAGAAGAGAAATAGCGGCATGATCTAATAGTTGGCAGAGACCACACCTACACCTACACATACCATTACAGTGAGTACTTACTGAGGGCACTATTAAGCACTTGTGCCATGAAGGGCAGGAATGGATCAAAGAGAGGAGGCTGCATAATCTGATGGACGGCACAGGCCATTACTACACAGACGTCATGGCACGTGAACCGTTGAGGGTCGATTGGCGTGTCTGGATCTGGAAACAAAATCATGACCATCAAGGATGAATTGAAGGGTATATTAAAGTGTACATCAAGAAAAAATTTTTTTTTCAAAATCACTTATATGTGAACAGTGTAGTATGTTTGCATTTTTTTTGTATGTGGTCGTCTCTTTTCGAAGCTATGAATATTTGAAATATCAATATGCAAATGAGACGACGTAAATTCCAGAATGGGTTACATTTTGTGTGATTTACGACAAGTGTTCTGAAGTGAAATAACCCAAAAGTCTACAAAACCATATATTTCAGTTATAAGTATGATTTGCAAATGAAAAACCAGCAGTACTTTCCACAGCAGCTTTTTTGTACAATAAAGTAGTCTTGAATTTACGTCATCTCATTTGCATATTGATATTTTAAATGTTTATATCTCCTAAAAGAAAATTTCACATACAAAAATGTTGCAACCATACTACTAAACTATTTAAATATAAGTGATTTTGAAAATAGAAAAATTTCCTTGATACACACTTTAAGGGATTACAGGGTTCGTGCAAGATTCTAGCGATATTATGATTATTGGATACATTGTAATACCTTTTTGTAGCGTGGTTATCAGTTCTGCGTTTATATGCCGCAAGTCCTCTACTTGGTGTAAATCTTTCACATGTTTACCTTCAATATAACACAAAAAGTTTGCTTGAGCCAATATCGATTGTAATCCAAACTGAGGATGTTTGTGGAAGAGTAAAATGTAAATGATCGTTAATGATGCTAGAACTTGCAGTCTGAACATTGATTGATTGTCTTTTATTGCTCTTTAGAGTCCTATTTTTATACAACAGTAATTAATAAAGATATATTATTGGAAATATAGATGTACACATTTCTTATGTAATAATAGAGCCTGAGGGCTAAGTTAACTGGAAAGTTTTCTAGTTATCTCCCAGTTAACAATGGACTATTATTTAATTTTGATGAATTAAGTGTCCATTTTGGATCAAGAGGCATCATAAGGCGTCCAGGGGCAAAACAAAAGAAAGACAAAAGATATAAGACCCCTTGCACTGAGTCCCAAGAGGAATTGTTTTGGGGAACAAAACAATGGGTTTTTTTGTTGTTGTTGTTGTTGCATAAGAAAAGACGACCTATTGCCTTGTCTCCCAGAACAAGGGTTCACTATATAGTTTTGAGTGTTCGTCTTTCTTTCGTGGGTAAAGGTAATAGATGTGTCGTCTAAGCTGGCTGTAAAAATATACATAGACGCCCCCTTAGTGCCTTGCGATCCAAGATGGCCACCGTATCGTTGAAGTAGTCCATTGTTCATTATCATTTAGTTGCTAAGCAAAGAATGGACTACATATGGAGTACCTACCATACGTCTCTAGATGGTCAATACAACGTGAAGCAATCTGGCATCCAACATCTTCACACTCCATGTCAAGTATTATGTTTGGTTTCAAGCCCTAAAGAAAGATGAGGTTTGCACAATAGACCTTTCCCTACTTCGCTTGAGTGACAAACCAAACCAATAGCCGCAAGTCGAGGTGTGTTCAGACGTTAACTGTATTTTTTTAAGTCCCTCCTTAACTCGAAACAACTGTTTTGGGCCATTCAAGCGAATTTTCAGAAGGTCTATAAATAAAATAAATAAATCACTTTATTTAAGTGTCTAGTCGTTCTAGCGCTTTTCGCACTAATTGGGGACACTTTTCGCTCACACGCACTACCACTACATTTAATATTCTATGCACACAACGCTCAACTCACATGTTGATTTTTACGGAGGGAGGAAACCGGAGAACCCGGAGAAAACCCTCGTAGCATAGGAGAGAACAACACATCAAACAAACTCAATTCACATGTGGCGACCGCAGGGCTCGAACCAGCGACCCGACCCGTTGGACTCACAGTGGTGAAAGACGACGCGTTAGCCGCGAACGCCACCCATGCTACCCTTATCTATGGAGAATATTAAAAAGCTTTGATAAAACACAGGGTGGTGATGATGACGGTAATGGTGGTGGTGGTGCTCATGATGATGACGTTGATGGTGAAGATGGTGATGATGATGGTGATGGAGGTGGTGGTGATGATGGTGATGATGATAGTGGTGGTGGTTATGATGATGATGATGTGATGATGATGATGGTGGTGGAGGTGGTGATGATGACGTGATGATGTGATGGTGATGATGATGATGGTGGTGGTGATGATGATGATGTTAGTGGTTATGTGATGATGATGATGGTGTTGGTAGTGATGATGATGATGATGATGATAATGACATACTTCCTACGCTGCCCAACCCCCAAAGCGTTAAGAGTTTGTGCAGTTTTTGTGCTATTTTACCTTAGATGGTGGAGGAACCGGTGTTTCCAGCGCCAAACTCGTCAAGTGTACAGCTGTATAGAGTAAAGAATCAGAAATGTTGCTATTTTCTTGGGCAGCCTGTGGATGAAAACATGAGAACGTTTCTTAAAGACCCCGGCAGAGAGAGAGAAAGTTGTTGAGTTGCCCTTTGGAGCACAGTATTGCTGTTTTACTTGACGACATTTTCTGTCTCGTGCGGAATGTCCTGAATCGATAGTCTTCAATAAAATTATTTTTGGTCGACAGCACATGATGGTCAGTGTTTGACCACCATTTGGAGAAGACAATGAGATTCAAAGACTTATTAGCTGATTGAAACCCAGTAATGACAGCGAAATGTTAGAGATGTTGGCATACTGTACCTGAAAAAAGATGTAGTAAAGCATGCCATGCATCGTTTTGCATTGGAGCATCCTTAGTATTCCTTCGCTGCCTTTGGGAAGAGGACGAAGGGGCTTGAACGGCGGCCAGAGATTACTACTGCTGCTCGCTTGAGTTGTCTTGCTTATGCTGAAAGGAAATACTTTGTTACTTCGGAAACGTAATATTTGAACGAAAATACGAGGGACAAAAGAGAGATAAACAGTTAGTGGATGGCGAAATGAATAGATGTGGAGAAATGAATGAATAACTGAATGATTGAATCGACGGAAGAAAGAATTTTTGATGGATGACTAGAATGGTAAAATAAAATAATGGATGGATGGCTTAGAAAGAGAGGGAGGGAGGAAGAGAGGGAGGGAGGGAGGGAGGGAGAGAGGAAGGAGGGAGGAAGGGAGGAAGGGAGGAAGG